ATTTAGCTTTTAGTATGAATATGTTTGCCTTAAAGAGATAGTTCACCCCAAAATGAAAATTCTCTCATAACCCTCATGTTGTCCCAACCCCGTAAGACTTTCATCTTCGGAACACAAATTACGATATTTTTGATGAAATCTGAGAGCTGGCTCACTCATAGACTGCTACGTAATTGCATCTGCCGGCCCATAAAAGTTAGTAAAGACATTGTTAAGGAAACACTCTGACTTTTTGGGACTTTAGCTTATTCACCATATCCCCCAGAGTTAGATAAGTCCATACATACCTTTTTCATCTCCGTGCATGCGGTAACTCTGACGCACCACTAGCCTAGCTTAGCACAAAGACTGGCTGTAAATGGCTACAGCTAGCATACTAATAGGGTTGGGTATCGCGAATCGAGTATCGATTGGAACCGAGACTAACTTTTCGTTTTTCCCGGAATCGTTCAAAAGTTAAAATTTCGATTCCTATTTTCGATATTCACAGCGGAAGAAGAAACCGCTGAACAACACCAACGAAGAAGAGTCTACCGGAAGTGTTGGCATAACCACGCGAGTCGAACATGAGTACCTTACATGAGTAAGTACCTCGGCGATCCAAAGTGTGGCTTCACTTTTCTAAAAATGATCAAATCTCGGCAAAATGCAAAATTTGTGACAAAAGGAGTATTTTTACAGAAGGAGTATTTCCTTCAGAAAGGCCGTTGGTTAGCAAGGTTAGCTAAACTTTTTTGACCCTGCCTCTTAAAAGAATCGGAATCGAGAATCGTTAGGAAGCGGAATCGAAACAAGGAATCGGAATCGGAATCAGAATCGTTCAAATTCAAACGATACCCAACCCTACATACTAATCCCAAATAAGTGACAAAATAACGCAAACATTTTCCTATTTACATGTTGTGATTTGTATAGTCAGAGAATATACAAATAACAAGGTCATATGAGACACAGACATCTTTTAAACTGTATAAATATTGGGAACTATATTCTCAGAAGGCGAAGCACTGCTACTTGGGCGGAGTGATTACCGCAGCACCTGAGAGGCACCGTGGTTAGGAGCAGAGAGTTCATTCAGAGTTGGAGCATAGAGTCAGCAATTACTAGATAGTAAAAGCATAGTTTACAATCAATGTTTCTTGTATTGTAAAGAGCTGCGACAATAAAGAGGGGAGACCGGGTAATACCATGAAAAAAGAAGTTGAACTTGAGCACGCAAAAGACGCAACGTGTTAGCAGGCCCTAATGTTAGTATTGTTTTGGCACAAACGCACTCTATTGCCCCAGTAACAAATGAGCGGAGCAAGAGGTACACTCAGGACTGTAGCCTTCACCTTTTTTTTTTTTTTTTTTTTTTGAGAAACAGTGACCTTGTCCAGTACCGGTAGGCTATTGTGGGTTTGTTGTGTAAAAAAACATTTGCCTTGTGCAATTACTTTCCCCTTATTCTGGCCTATTGTAATGCAATTATCAAACATTACTGTATTATATGCTGTTGAATACATTTGGTTTAGCTGTAATAAATTGCATTTAAAATATATCGATTACTGTTATTCATATTCTGTGATATGTATTAGTCAGGATGCATTTTTGGTTGAAATTCTATGAAACATCAAGGTATTACCCGGTCTCCCCTGTTTATTGTCGCAGCTCTTTACAATACAACAAACACCCATGATTGTAAACTATGCTTTTACTCTCTAGTAAATGCTGACTCTATATTCCAAATCTGAACAAACTCTCTGCTCCTAACCACGGTGCGTCTCAGGTGCTGCGGTAATCACTCCGCCCAAGTAGCAGTGCTTCGCCTTCTGAGAATATAGTTCCCAATATTTCTACGGTTAAAAGATGGCTGTTTCTCATATGACCTTGTTATTTGTACACTCTGTGACTATAAAAATCACAACATGTAAATAGGAACAATTTTGCGTTATTTTGTCACTTATTTGGGATTAGTATGCTAGCTGTAGCCATTTACATCCAGTCTTTGTGCTAAGCTAGGCTAGGGGTTCGTCAGACAGAGTTACAGCACGCACAGATGAAAAAGGAATGATATCTAACTCTGGGGATGGTGAATAAGCTAAAGTCCCAAAAAGACAGAGTGTTCCTTTAAAATAGTCCAAGTGACTACAGTGGCGCAACCTTAAGTCATCAAGCAATGAGAATACTTTTCAGTTCTCGCGCATGGCGCTCTCGTGAACTCACTCGAGAAGGTAACTTGAGGGTGAGTAATTACTGACAGAATTGGCAGAGGCTACACGTGCTACACAGAGCCTACGACATAACTATGGCGCGAGTTTGACGCAGAAGTATAAACTGGGCTTTAAAGGGTTAGTTCACCCAAAAATGAAAATTAAGTCATTAATTACTCACCCCCATGCTGTAACAACCCCGTAAGACCTTCGTTCGTCTTCGGAACACAAATGAAGATATTTTTGATTAAATTTGAGAGCTGTATAACTACCACATTGGCTGCCTAAGGGACTGCCTCTTGACGGCCCAAAAAGTCAATGAAGAAAATGTTTAAATATCCCAAGTGACTACCGTGGCTCAACTATATGTTTATCAAGCGACGCGAATACTTTTAGACGAGAAACGAGACTTCCTTAGATTTCCACGACGCATGCGCGAGAATTGCGATCTGCTTACACCAGCTTACACTACTTCAGATCGCAATTCTCGCGCATGCGTCGTGGAAATCTAAGGAAGTCTCGTTTCTGGCCTACAAGGAAGAAAAGAAATAGTCGAATAAACTCGTTATTTTTGTTTGTTTTTTCGCACAAAAAGTATTCGCGTCGCTTGATAAACATATAGTTGAGCCACGGTAGTCACTTGGGATATTTAAACATTTTCTTCATTGACTTTCTGGGCCGTCAAGAGGCAGTCCCTTAGGCAGCCAATGTGGTAGTTATACAGCTCTCAAATTTAATCAAAAATATCTTCATTTGTGTTCCGAAGACGAACGAAGGTCTTACGGGGTTGGTACAGCATGGGGGTGAGTAATTAATGACTTAATTTTCATTTTTGGGTGAACTAACCCTTTAAGGTTATGAATAAGCAGGTGTGTTCCAAAACAATGACAAAATTCGTGTTTAGGAGATACTGTATAAGCATTCAAAACGTAATAGTCTCTGACTTCCGCTAAAATGGATCTTGGATTTTGATGACATCACCGTGGGCTTCAGCCTCTCATCACATCTTCTGTCCAATCAAATGCTCTCTAGAATCTAAAGCATCCCAAAACTCCCGCCCCCTATGCTAACTACCAGGCCAAAGCGACCGTTGACAGACACGTCATGGAGCAATATGGGTTGGAGATAGGAGTGTTTGGTTGCTCAAACGTTCAAGTTTTATTCCGTTTTCCAACTCTACGTTGGTTAAGAATGAAACGACTAGAATTTATTCACACCTCTACTATTGAATCCAATGTATCATCAACGATCGGATTCGCTTCCATGGTGTCTGTGAGGTAAACTAAATGCTATTGGCTATTTAAAAAGGGAGAGAAGCCATTTAATATGTCCCGCCTTATGTATGTTTCAGTGGAAATTACATCAATGAATCATAAAAAGCTGCGCGTTAAGAGTAATATTCTTTAGTCAACAGATCTCTTTAAACACTCCTCTACATCATGGTCAGTCTATTGACCAATAGAAGTCCTCATGATATTGCAAGTGTGATGGTTCGTCACCTGCTGAAAAACTAGGAACTGTGCTAAAATGCAAAAAATTTGATGTAAAGAAAACCTAAATGCGGCATTACGTCTAATTTAACCAACTAAGTCATCCGGACTACATTAAACACAACAACAAATTAACATTAAGAGTCATATGAAATCACTTTGCAGTTTTATTTTATTACATTTTTGAAAAATCGATGGAGGACTAGATGAACAAGTCTAAAGGGAAGTCTCTACTGTAGCAAATTTTATATTTTAGTGTGTGATTAACAATAAAACACCATAGAGCTTAGTTCAGAGTGCATGAAGATCTTCCAGCAGTCACGTGTGGATATTGCTATTAGTCTTTTTACTTTATACTCCTGACCTGCACTGCCCACTGTCCAAAATGCAGCTGTCTCATGTATCTATGCAACCAAACTAAGCATGCAGTACACACACTCAAAACACTTTCTCGAAGGTTATGTGATATAACCTATAACGGGCATATCTAATCCTCTGTGAAACAGGATATGTCACTCCACATAGAACAACCGTGTGCGTGATCGCCGCTGCCACAATCACACACACTTATTTTCTGGTTCCTGGCACCTAATAACACCTCGCTCTCTTTCAAGCACATGCATACAGGAGGTTCACACAGAGTCAATAATGACTCTTAATTTGTCTTATGATATGTCATTTAACAGGTCAACATAAAAAAATATGAACAAACTAATTCTCTGAATTTTAGATCATGCAACGCAATGGCTATAATTGCAACACTTGTTTAGAACAATTTGTTCACCCTTAAAGTGAAGATTTTGTCATCATTTACACACCCTCAAGTGGTTTGAGTTTCTATCTTTGAAAGTAGTATTGTTTTTCCTCCTATGGAAGTCAAGGGCGAGTAAATGATGACAGAATTACATTTATTTGGTGAATGATCCTTTTATGAACAACTATTTTCACAGCATGCCATTTCAGGTACTTTACAGGGGGTCAGTGAGGTAAAATCCAGAGTATTCCAGAATCATGAAAATGTTAATGTTAAGTGTGTGGGTCAACTGCTCAGAAATAAACATAGTCAAGAATATGTACTTACATTTTTGGGGTTAACGTTTTTTACCCAGTATATAAACCATGTTTTTTGGGGGGGTTTTGGCTGGTCTATTTGGGTTAAATGTGCAAACGCTAAAATATTATAATGTCATAATGTACATCATATCAATATAAGATAACTGTGGTTACAAATGTGTATAAAAAAACCCAACATTTCGAATGCAAGAAAAGCACTGAAAGCAAATGAAACAGACATTGAAGACTAACTGAGGAGACTGACCTTATATGAAATCGGATCACTGGATTTTCTTCAAGTTCTCCTCTGGTGTCAGTGGATTATCATGCTTCAGTCATTTGTAGGGGTTTCTCTCTCCTGTACACGGCCATTTCTGCTTGAATACATCAAACTTCAGGGATAAAATTGACAAGGCTTCATCTTTGTGAGTTCAGCGGCAAAACACATTAAAGTGGTCCGTTTCCTTGGAGTGCTTCTTAGATTTCATACACCAAATAGTTTTAAAATTGAGTGAAAAAATATTGCTATAAATAAATTAAGATACTGATAGCCACAAACTTCACAAAAACTGTGTTTTAGACTAACAATAAAAGTGGTATTGATCAAGACCCTAAAGTCCAAACAATTATTTTACAGAAAATTATGTACATTTCTAAATAATATGCTTTAAAAGAAGAAACGCTATTTTGGCTTTTCACATAATTTGGAGACATTGGGGAACAACTATATACAATAAATTAAGGCCTGTGATTTTTGAATTTCAAAGCATCCCATCAAAGCAAGTTCTTAATATTTTACTAATTTAATTCATTATTATTTTATTTTCTGCTCTGAATAAGAAATCCTAAAAGAAACTCTTAAAAGCTGTTGGTGCTTTCCAAGAGATCAACAGATTAAAATGTACTTTGAAAAAAATAACTGCAACTTTCCAGGATTTTAGCGGTGCAATGATCCTTGGATTGCACAGATTTTGGGTGCATTAAGCATGGATGGACTAGTGGTTTGTCTTTCTCAGGAGCATTTAATATTCGATTTATCACGTTAGTCTTCTCAAACATGTTTGATTCCTCTCTGTATTCTTAATCTGTTGAATTTGAAGATTTCTTCAACACATGACACAACAACACTGCTCCTGGTCAGTATCCCTGAGATTAAAATAGCTGAAATTGGAAACAATGACGAGCACCGGTAGTGCAATGGGGTGGTGACGGATGAACTAGAGGTCCGTTTCTCTAGCGTCCAGACAAAATGTATATAGGGAACGCTTAATATCCAATCTGCTATTAGCTTTCATGTTAGTCTTTTCAACAGGTGTTGTTTCTTCATTGTGTTCTGTATCTCTGGAGTTGGAGGTTGATGATTTCCTCAGCCCATGTATTTCATCAGATGGGTTTGAAGGGCTACCAATATTTGGCTCGTCTCTGAGAGATGCCTGGTCTTGGTCAGTTTCTCTGTGGTAGAAATAGTTGAAGTTAGACACGATGACTGGCACCGGTAGTGCAATGGTCAACACCCCAGCAATGGCACAGAGAGAGCCCACGATTTTGCCCCCCACCGTCACCGGTCTCATGTCACCATACCCAACTGTTGTCATGGTCACCACCGCCCACCAGAAGGCATCTGGGATGCTGGAGAAGTGAGACTCAGGTTCGTCTGCCTCAGCAAAGAAGACAGCACTGGAGAACAATATGACACCAATGAAAAGAAAGAAGATCAAGAGGCCCAGCTCTCGCATGCTGGCTTTCAGAGTCTGACCCAAGATCTGAAGCCCCTTGGAGTGCCTAGAGAGCTTAAATATGCGAAACACCCGAACCAAGCGAATGACCCTTAGTATGGCCAGAGACATGGCCTGCTGGCCATTATTGTGTTCCTGGCCCTGCTGTTCTGCCAGCTCTGTGCCCAGTGTGATGAAGTAAGGCATGATGGACATGATGTCAATGATGTTCATGATGGTTTTGGAGAATTCTGACTTACTGGGACAAGCAAAGAAGCGCACGAAGAGCTCAAATGTGAACCAAATCACGCAGGTGGTTTCAATGATGAAGAACGGGTCGGTGAAGGTGAGCGACGGGCGCTCTTGAGTTCCATTGATCGCGCGACTGGTCACTGGAAGCTCTCGCTCGTCGCGAAACTCGGGTAAAGTTTCCAGACAGAAAGTTATGATGGAAATGGTGATGACGAGCACGGAGACGATAGCGATGCCTCGCGCAGGACTGGAGCTTTCAGGGTACTCAAAAATGAGCCAAACCTGCTTCTGAAATTCATTCTGTGGCAACGGTTTCTCCTCTTCTTTGATAAAGCCCTCGTCCTCGCGGAAACGGTCCATCGCTTCTTCTCCTAGCTGATAAAAGCGGATTTCGTCGGCAAACACGTCGATCGACACGTTAACGGGTCGTCGGATTTTTCCGCCGGACTGATAGAAATAAAGAATTCCGTCAAAACTCGGTCTGTTACGATCAAAGAAATACTCGTTCCTAAGGGGGTCGAAATACTTTATTCTCTTGTCAGGATCTCCCAGTAAAGTGTCGGGAAACTGGTTCAGAGTGCCCAACTGGGTCTCGAACCTCAGCCCGGCGATATTAATAAGAACTCGTTCGTTGTTCTCATGGTCCATATCCATATCCAGAATGTCCTCATCAAACAAATGGGGACTGTAATACTCCACCGTATTCTCAGTGGAGCCCATCATTGTGTTGTTCATGTCGTTCATTTTCCATGAGCTCTGTTGTGGACTTCTGGAGTATATTTCTTTGTTGTGGACCAAGCGTGGATGATCCAGTGAGTTTTGGTTCTGGTAGGTTTCTCCATCACTGCCTCCATCTCCTCGCTTATCAAAACTCACCAAAGCTATCTCCATTTCCAAGCCATTAAATATTCATTAATACAAGACCTGTAGAATTAAAAACAAAAAGCCACTCATAAATCCACACTCGCTTTTTTGCCGTTAGATTCTGCTTCGGGAAAAGATGTGCATCATAATCCAAACATCCTCCCGTCTCTCTGGTAATGTTGTGTGCTCTGAGCGTAAGTACTGGAGTGATTCACATAACTCGGTTCTTTTGAGCGGATTCTTCTGAATGAATCGATTCGCAAAGCGTTGGTGTATCACTCGGCTGTGCGGATTTTCTTTGGGGTGGTTGGATATGGAAATAAATTCGAAGTGATAAATAAACAAAATGTTGATTCTATTAATAAGAAGCAGCCACCTGCCGCGCGGGTACCAGAACTAGTCACACAAATGAATTGAATGAAGTGAATCATTTCGCTAAAATGTGTGGGGAGAGAGATCCCCTCCGTTCAACAGTCTAGCTAATGTTTTTTTCTTTTCATATCAAACATGCTATAAAATTAATTTAATTAATTAATACCCTATTTAGGATCGAAGATTTGAGTTTTTAATCGTTGATCACTGACCCATAAGCCTTTTATTTTTTTTAAGATTTAAGTTTTTTTTTAATGTAAGCCAATTATCTATAAGCTAGTGTGCTCTAAAACAATGACAAAATTCGCATTTAAAATATATAAGAAATAAAACATACAGTCATTTCTGCCAATATGTAGGATATCAATGATTTTGATGACATCACTCTGCACTTCAGATTTTCTGCCAAATCAAATGCTCACTAGAATCTAAAGTGCTACATTATATAGATAGACACTCACTTGTTCACACATTTACTATTTTCTACATGGTGAATGGCACATTTATGCCCTATATCGGGAATAGGCAACTGTTCAGATTATATGCTTTCCATTGGGGCGAATGGGCTATATGCACGCATAAGTTCCACATTTGATGCAAGGATGCTCGTCCATTTCCGGTTGTGGAGATTAAAGCGGAAAAAAAACCCGAGGAAAACGGGATTATGGCAGAGTCTTCAAAATGTACTGTCCTCCCGTCTTTGAAACGAAACATACGTTTGTATAGTTATGTTTATTTAATATCATTTTAAAAAGAAGCATAAACACAACAAGGGGTGTCTGTTTTATCTGTTTTTGTGACTAACGTTTCTTTATTATAACCATGGAGTATAAAATTCAATATAAATTCTCCGTTTTGCATTGGACTCTACGATCGGCGGAAGTTATCGAGCATCCTTACACCTTCACCGGAAATACCGGCGTGCATAGAGCCCATAAAGTCTGGTTTCACGCAAACCGGTGCACCACGTACACAGTCTGCTCCGTCCAGAGACACAACCCAGATAGCAAACTGACATTGAATCAACGTGGAAATATGACATCGAAACAACGTTGATCTGACATTGTTTTGCTCATCGAATTAACGTTGAACCAACGTCAGACGCGTCATTCTTTCAAAACTAACGGAAAATCAACTTGAAATCAACGCGTTGTTTCAACGTTATGAAAGCAAACCAATTTTCGATTTCATTTAGCTTTGAAGAATGCCGCGTCTGACGTTGGTTCAACGTTAATTCGATGAGCAAATCAACGTTGTTTCAATGTCATGAGAGACGTCGTTTCCACGTTGATTCAATGTCAGTTTGCTGTCTGGGAATGGTACAGAGCATATTTTATGCGCGAGTTAGAACATACCACAAAAAGTATATCGAACCCATTTGAATTCTGCACAGAATGCTATATTTTAAAGCGACGGTAGAGATTTGGAGGAAACTGCGGCTTTGCCGAGCTCAACGGGTCCGGTGGTCGAGCTGTGATCGAAAACGAAATGCTATTGGCTATTTTAAAAGGGGGAAGAGCTGTTCAATATGTCTTCCTGTTGAAGTCGAAATTACGTCACATTGAATAATGCTGTGTGTTTCAGGGCACTTCAGTGGGATTTTAACCCCAAGCAACAGTTAATAAAAGGGTAACTAAAGTGAAAGCATTAATAAAATATAAATACTATTGTCTTTGTTGTAGATTCTTTCATCAAGCTCACTAAGCTTTTTATTTACAGTTTATATGTAATGTACAGACACATACTGTAGCTAGGTTATTATCTATAGAGAATGGTCTATGAAAACCTGCCAACTTCCATTTTCTGACTCTTCTCGTGTGATTTATTTTCTGGCATCTGTGCTAAATAAGCATACATTCACACATGAGTTAACATTATTTTGACTTGGCCTTAGTTGCATCACCACGATAGTTCATGAATGTGTGTGTCTCATTTTCTGACGTTATTTTGAGAGACGGTGCACATATTCAACTAACTGAGCACAGAGAAATTCACATGGATAATTCCTGTATGTACATCAATTAAGAATTGCAAATGATGCATCACAATGCTCAATTTTACTTCAATTAAATCTCACAGGACCAGAGACTTTCTTCTTCAAATATTGTGTGATATCATCTTGCTCACATTTTAAGCCTTGCATGAACACAGATGTCAAAGCACCTGATTTAAAATTAGATTTTCAAAATCTGGAATATTTTCTCCCACTGGGATAAAACTATGGCAACAGCACTTCTGATTGAGACACGTGAAGCCAACTTCATGACTCAGTTCATTAAGGTACCAAAATAGAATGTGACAAAACATTTTTATATTTTTTTTTACCAAATTTTCATGAACCATCAACCAACCATGTCCTAAATAAAAAGGTTAAAATTATAAAAGGAGACTTTTAACATTTGTTTTTCATTGAGGGTGGTACAGTAACACCACATAGAGTGTTCAACACCTGCTTCAATAATAAACCTACAATCAAAACCGACATCAAAACCTACTTCAACAATAAAACATTTAAAATAAAATTTTATTTCATTAAAGAGATGCATTCAAGTCATTGTTAGTGTGATTTTTTAAAATTATTTTCTAAATTAAACTCTTATTTTACCTGAAAGCCCAATACCTTAATTTGATTTAACAATACATATTACAAATGCCCTGCACATACTGTAGCTTGACTTGCCTTCATGGATAAATACAAGGAGAAGCTGTGATATCTTACAGAAGTCCTTTATCCCCCAAACACTGCCTCATTTGACCTCTCCATATGCTAAATATGCCATATTGCTAAACAATCTGGCTGTGTGGAAATAAAACACTGAAAAACTTCTGCCATTGAAGACAAGTAGGGAAATGGTAAAAGCTTAAAAAGGAAATAAGTGGTTTAAGTGTAAGAGGAAAGAGAGAGATTATGTGTTGAAGGTGTCAAGCGGGTAACCAGTGATGGAGAACTGATCCCGGTGGAGAATTAACACTGAATAAGGTAGCTGAAGACCTGCTGCTGCCTCTCTTATCGTGGCATTTGCACTCTTTCTCATTCACTCCATTCTGTGGTAAAATATGGCTCACATGACCTCAGTCTTTATCCATGCTTCAAGATAATCTCCAGAGCTATATAAAACAGTTTAAAATAGAACTGCATTCACCTGTTTCTGTCTGTAGTTTGTTGAGGCTATCACTTGTGAAACCAGATGTATAAGGGCCAATCCCAATTCTACCCCTTACCCCTTCCCTTTCCCCTAGCCCTACCCCTTCGCCTTCCCCTTGACCCTTCAAACAGAGTGGCAATGCGTAGGGGTGAAAATATTCCCCTAAGAAATGGGACACCACTACGCCTCCGTTAAACGTCATTATAAGCCGTCGCTAGCGCCTACGTCACAGGAGATGCGCCGATGTTTATCACAACTTCCAAGATGCCGTCGACAGCTGCAGTTATCTCAGTCGCGTGGGTTACAGCTATTTTCTTGCATTTATCTTGTGAAGTTCGCAGGAAACAACGGAGACGACAAAAATATGTTGCGGGACTATCGTTAGCAAACTACAGTAATTTTAGCGATTTTTTTACAAACGTTTCTGTGAAGAAACTGACCGTAAATATGAACACAATATTGAATGTAACATAAAGCAAATCATTATTTGTCGTTACAATACTTATTAAAGCCACAAATACTTACATTTATGGGTCTCCTTTTTTGCTTGGGCAGCCATTTTGCGTCTGTAGCCTGGGTTAGCAGTGACACTTCTCATACCCCTTCGTTTGAAGTGTGCTCCCGAAAAATCTTCGTTTGAAGGGCTATCTGGCCCTTCACCCTAGCCCTCCCCCTCCAACCAAAAGAGAATTGGGACAGCCCTACCCCTTCACGTGGACGCGCAAAACGGAGGGGAAGGGGAAAGTGAAGGGGTAAGGGGTAGAATTGGGATTGGCCCTATTGTGACATCGAAATCAGGGTCAAGTGTTCACCTAAAGCAGGGATATTCAATTAAAGTTCCAAGAGGTCCAGTCTCTATTTCCTTCCCAGCAGAGGTACCAGACAATACTTTTTTTTTTTTTAAAAAATCATTTCCATCGAGGCAGCCATTGTATTTTGTAAAAGAAAAAATCCTAATTACTCAAAATATTAATCAAAGATGAGAATCTTGGGCCCTGAGGACCAAAGCAGTAATGACTGAGAATTTTTACCAATATTTACCAAAAAAAATTAAGTATTTATCCCAACTGGATATGAATATAAAAAAGTGAGATAAGATCAGGCTATTATTTATTTATTTACATTTAAACACCAATTTCTATGACACATAGAAGGCATTGGGACTGAGAAAAAATGGGGTGCATCGTTTTTATATTTTCCTTAAAGTAATAAGCTACTAACCACTACTAGCTCCTCCTGAGGTGGCAGCTACCCCTACAGCTCCTCGACCGTGACAGCTCCCCCTGAAACGGCAGCGACCGCAACAGTTCCTTGACTGCGACAGCTCCCGCTGACGTGGCAGCTACCACTACGGCTCCTTGACCCTGACAGCTCCTCCTGAAGCGACAGCTACCCCTACAGTTCCTTGAACGCTACAGCTCCTCCTGAGGCAGAAGCTACCCCTACAGCTCCTTGACCGCTACTGCTCCCACTGGGGTGGCAGCGACCGCTTCAGTTCCTCGACCGCATCAGCTCCTCCTGAGGTGGCAGCTACCACTACAGCTCCTTGACATCGACAGCTCCCCCTGAGACGGCAGCAATCGCTACAGCTCCTCGACCATGTCAGCTCCTCCTGAAGTGGCTGTGACCACTGCAGCTGCTCGACTGTGACAGCTCCTCC